GCCGTTTGCACAACGAGCCGCTCCCACCTGTCACGATTCCCGCCCCTGCCAGCCTTTCCTCGACCCGTCGCAGGCAGCAGCTCTGCGGCTCCTCCCTTCTCGGCATCATCCACCCGGCGGACCGCCTCCCCCTCTCGCAGACCGTCCAGGCCTGCTCACACGCACGTGCCCCGAGCCGTGCACCTTGCATGCCGCCCCGCTCCTGCTTAAACACTCGCCCTGCCCGTCCCTCCCAGGCGCTGCTGGTGGCTGCCGCCACCGGCCTCGCCAGCACAACCTCCTCGACGCTTCGCGCAAGGTGCCACGCGCCACATGCGTAGTTGCGGCCCTAGGTACCACACATCTTTCTTGCTGCCGTGCTCGGCTAGCAAGCATAGCCCTCGCCACTCACCTCAACGAACCTCGGAGCCACGGGCGCGCCGCGCTCGCCGTCGCCGGAGAGGAGAGTGAGAGAGAGAGAGAGAGAGGCACGCCCTGTCAGACTGTTCTCAGCCTGCTGTCACCCAACCGACCAAGGTACCGCGTCCTCCTCCCTCACGCGGTGGGGGGCAGGCCGGGCGGCGGGGTGGCAGCGTCCGCCGTCGAGTCTACCTTCGCCATCCTCCGGTCCGATAGCGAGCCGATGCGGCTCCTCGTCTCCTCGCGCTACGCCCTGCCGGACGGCGCCGCCGCCGGGGAGGGATGCAGCTTGTACCCCGCTCAGCAGGCGTTAGTCTTCTCGTGCGGCTGCGAGCCGCACGCAGGGTGCTCGATGTGCTGCGCCGGGGGACCCAAGTAGCGTGGGCGTGAGTCCGCAAGACGGCGCGGCGCGGGGAGAGTTGACTAGTAGGATGGCATGCGCGACGCCGCGTCTCTCTCTACCCTCGGTCGCTGCCTGAGAGATGGCGGCTGCCAAGAGGTACACCTCCATGGCTGCCGTGTCCGTGTTTCTTTTGTTGTGTGATCACTGCCTCTCGGTGTTATGTTTCCTTTTTTGCCATGTTGTGTTGACTGGTTATCCCTCCTGTCCGCTGGCGTGCTATACTTACTCTCTCTGCGAGCGAAATGCTTGTGTGAGTGGAGAAGTGCACCTTACCTGCTTGTTATTCGGCCGAGGCCCTGACAGAGTGATTGTGTGGAGCCCCGTCTCAGAGACATCACGCAGACAAGCAGGGGGAGCACCAGCTACCTTGTGGACTCCACTCTCCAGAACCTCTGCCTCGTGGCCGACATCGCTCCACGCCTCAAAAGTGGCCTTGCCTCAACGGCCAGCACCGCGTCGCTCTCATGAGAACCATGGGCTCTTGTCGCCAACTGTCTGGCTTCGCTGCAACGGAGGACGACCGCCGCCGCCCTCACCCTCGCCGCCATCGCCCTCGGAGCGCGGCCGACTTTTGCGACTGCTGTAGAAACCCGGGATCTGGGGGTACAGAATGTTAGCATCAAAGACGTACGTCTTCATCGAGAGGCCAGGCGTCAGGTAACCTGGCACGGATATCAAACCGCGACGCTCTTGCTGGTGCCGAGACAGGTCTGCACGCTTTCTGACAGTATCTTCACATACCTCCAGCGCCCCAGCGGCGTCTTGGATGCTCCTCGCCCTCCTGACCCACGCTCTGCACGTCGGTCCGCCATCCTCGAATCCGTATCGCAAGGCGAAGATCACCGGCCTGCAGGCACCTCGTGGTCCGCGCATTGGCTCGGCTCGCAGCTGCATTCGCTTCCAGCCTGAATCTTCCAGCGTCTCTTGTGCCTGCTTCTGTCTCGCAAGTTCCCGTATCCGTGGACTCAGCTTTGTCGGTGGACTCCGGCGCGGACTTCGCCGTGACGATGGAGTCGACGGGCCGGGGCACATATTGCAATATTCGTTTCGGCCTGCTTTCAGTAAGTAATCAGGTAAGTCAAAATTCTTTGAGCTAGCCTTCGATGTTATGAAACAAACGCAAGGCGGACACAAGCACATCGCTCTCTCGGCCCCACAGACATCCCGCACACCCGCCGCACACCCGCCGCCCCCGCGCGCGCCCCACCCCGGCCGGGAGAGAGGGGAGGGACAGTTTGGGACGGCAACAGAACGAGTATGTTGAGTCCTGGCTCAACAACGCAGAGAGAAATGAAAGCCGTCCGGCTCACAAGTCCGGCTCACGCGCCCCGACTGACCGATCTACCGCACTGAGCACTTCCGCCCCCTCGCTCCCAACCCATCCACCTCGCCTCGGGCCGCGCCGCGCAATCTCGGGCGATCTCGCGCCATCTCGCCGCCCCCCCC